ACAAACCAAACCAAACAAGACGACAGAATTACTAAACAACTTGAATACTAAGAAAGGTGCTGGAGTATTTAGGAGACTTGTGCTATCGGCACCATGTAACACAGTGTTACTTCGAGTTCTTGGCGACGAAATCGGTTTGTGGTTTGGATGGGCTCCGCCAGGTCTACTTGCCCAAGACATGCCCCGCATGCTTTCAACTCATATATGTGAAGGAAACTGATCAGGAGCTCAGCTGCGCAGCGACCTGGTCATGTGATTGATGATGATGATGATGATTATGTAAGCCTCTGGTTACGACTGGTGTGAACTAATAGTTACTATTATTATTAACAATAATAATGATTATGATAGCATCGATAATGTCTCAATTGGACCAATGCTGAATAATGTTAATAATAGGAAAACAATATGAAAAGAGGAAAGAAAATAACAGTATTAATGATGATGATGATGGCTGAAATGTGGAAATGGCGATTAATAACAATAATTAAAGGTCTGTGATAAAAGAGAAAATAAGAACAATAATAAAATTTAAATTGGTGGCCATTATCGTGGCAGCAAGAAAAAAAAAGTTAACATTGACAGCAATAACGATTATAATTATACTAATGCAACAACAACAATCCCAATGGTTGCAACAGGGACGTTGATAGTAAAAGGTGGTGATGGAGATAGCAGTGGTTATGATGTCTTTTTCAGGTTTTAGTCGCAAGGGAAATTGATTGAGTCATTTTGTCGCCTTTGCTTGGCTGTAGTGTCGCCTTTCTACATTTTTTCTTTGGAAACTAATACAACATTTACTTTCACTTTCATTTTTAAAGAGTCGCTCTTACTTGTCTGTAGTTTTTTTTTAAAAAAAAAAAAAACAACTTTTCATCATCTGTTTATTTCTTTTTTCTGCTCCTTTTCCCCTTCAGCATTTTTGTTTTCACTTTCCACCGTTTTCTTTTTTCTTGTCTTGGTTCTTGCCATTTTCAACTTTCTCTACCTTCCCTCCTTTCTGCTCTTTTTGTTTTTTTTTGGTTTATTTTTGAAAAAAATCCTGATGTTTTCACTCTCGCTTTATATTGCTGATCTTTTTTTCCCTTTGCATTAATGTTCATTGTAATATACTTTTTCTGGAAAGTTTTTAATTATCCTCCGCTTCCTTTTTGTTTTCTACACACTGTCTAGCTTTTATTTTAAAGCTTCTTTTTAAAATTTTTTTCCTTTTCCCCATCTCCTATTTTAGGGTTCGTTTTCACCAATAAAGTCAATATTTACGATTTTCATTTTCACATATTCCTTAGAGGGTATTTATTTTGTTTTTTCTTATCTTTTGTCTTTTCCCCTCTACGGTTTAATCTTCTTTTCCTCGATTTTTCTAACTTTCTTTTTGTGTTCTTTCTTTTTCATATTGTCCTTTCTTTCTTTCTTTCTTTCTTTTTCTTTCTTTCTTTCTTTCTTTCTTTCTTTCTTATAATGATTTTATTTCGTTTCGTTTCATTACTTCTTTGTCATGTACACTTTTCATTTCATTCATTCATTCATTCATTCTTTCTTTCTTTCTTTCTTTCTTTCTTTCTTTCTTTCTTTCTTTCTTTCTTTTCGACACTTTTTCTATCTTTCCTTCCCAATTCTTTATGTTGACTTAATTTCTTTCTTTCTTTCTTTCTTTCTTTCTTTCTTTCTTTCTTTCTTTCTTTTCCGTTATATTTATCCTCCTTTTTCCTTTTTGAGTTGTCCTTCACTTTGTTTTTCTTTTATTTCTCCCTTTTTCTCCTTTCAACGCTTTCCGCCATTGATCTCTTTCTTTTTTTTTTTTTCAAATTTCGTTTCTCTTCAGGGAATTCAATGTCACCAACTGGAGAATACACGAGTAGGTAAAAGCTGAGGAAGCAGTTTACTTAATGCTTATTTTCTCTTCCTACTTTAACGCCAACAGCTAATAAAATAGCACTTCTCCGAAAATAGGACTTTACAAAATCACACAAAAACAAACATTTTAAAGAACTATTTGTACCATAGCAGGTTGAATCAAAAACAACAAAAGAATTAAAGATTCTCTTGCCTGAATGATAACTGCTTTGATGTTTGATGACAATCAATCAATCAATCAGTTAATCGAGCAGCGTTTTTATCGTTCATTTTTTACCAGTATTCCAATCTTACCATTTCCTTGAAATTTGCTGTCACCTTTTTTTCTTTTTCTTTTTCTACGCTTCTTCGCAATTCATTTGTTAATTCTTTTACATAATTCTTGTTTTTCTTTCTTTTTTTCTTGTCATTTCCTTCTTTTTTCTATCTTTCGTTATTCTCTTTCTGATGATTGATTTTTTCCATTCCTTTCTTTTTTCAACGTCCGTTTATAATTCTCTTCTACTTGGTTTTTGATTTCTTTCACGTAATTTCCCTCTCCTTCCCCTACTCTTCCTCCTTCTTCCACTCCTCATCCTTTTTTTCCTCCTCCCCTGCTCTTCTTCTTCTTCTTCTTATTTCCATTCTCCCTCTCCTCCTCCTTTCATTTAAAATGTTCATTATTATTATTTCAATTAATTTCTTCTTTTGAGCGACATTCTTATAAGCCCTTATTTTGGTTATATAGTTTTGATGCTGTTGTTGTTGTTCTTCTTGTTCTTTTTCTTCTTCTTTTTCGTCCTCCTCTACCACCTCTCCTCCTCCTCCTCCTCCTTCTTCTTAGTCCGCCTCTACTACCTCTCCTTCTTTAGTCCTCCTCTACCACCTCTCCCCCTCCTCCTCCTCCTCCTTCTTCTTAGTCCTCCTCTACCACCTCCTCCTCCTTCTTCTTCTGATATGCTGGTCTTGTAATGAATAGAGGGGAGAGAGAGAGAGAGAGAGAGAGAGAGAGAGAGAGAGAGAGAGAGAGAGAGAGAGTTCAAATTCCAGTCGGGTTTGTTACATTCAGTTACGCGTAAATACCCTTGAGAAAGGTATGAATATCCTCCTCCAAGCTATGGGTAAAATACAGGACTTTCATCTAAAAAAAATATTGTTATTCTAAAACAAATTCTTAATGCAAAAGCGAATTATTCTTACAATTCAAAATATGTTTCGGTTTTAAATACTCTGCAAAGGGTTGATAATCCATAAAAATCAATCAATCAATTCTTCTTGGTTTTTCACTTTTCTCTTTGCAGTTTAATATTAGTGTGGACTCACAAATTCTTTTTATAACTTAACACTTTCAGTGTCAATATTTTTTCTCTGATAAATGTAGAGCAAGAAAAGAAAAGTAGAGATTCTCTTGAAACTAAATATCATTGTTGGAAAGTAGTTATTACAGCAGTGTACAATGGACAAAATGAAATAAAAGTGGGAATTTCCAAAATGAGGACGTTACGTAACAAACATGGTTTTGATACTTAATAGATAAAGTGGAAAAAAGTTAATTAACATCTTTTGTCGTTGACAGTGTTAAACTTCGATTCCAGATTTGTTAAGTCACGGAATTATTTTTTTTTTGCGAAATTGGTAATGTTTAAAACTCATTTCAGTTTTAACAAGAAATTTTAAAGACATTCTTTTTACGTTCTATCGCAAAATTCTCTATCTCTGTTAAGTATTTATGAATGAATTTAGGCTTTTTATACTCTTTTTAGATATGAAAGGTTTTTATGTCAAGCGCAATAATTACAAACCTTTACTCATCTAAGCTAAATCTGGTACAAGGCCACTTAATTGGTGCAACTGATGGAAGCAGAATTATCTGTACTCATCTAGCCAAGATTGGTAATTATGACTCGTCGACAGGTTTAGATATGTAACATTTTTCTTTCTTTCTTTCTTTCTTTCTTTCTTTCTTTCACGTTCCTTTTTTGTCTTGCTTTTAATTTCATTTCAATTCTTTCTTTCTTTCTTTGTCATGTTGCCATTTCATTAACGCATTCATTCTTACGTTTTCCTTTTTTTCTTTGTCATGTTGCTATTTCATTTCAATTCTTTCTTTCGTTCATTTTAATTCCTTCTTTCTTTCGTTCATTTTAATTCCTTCTTTCTTTTATTTTCTTTCTCCTTTTATCTTGTTCTTTGCAATCTTCTTCTTCTTCTTCTTCTTCTTCTTCTCAATTTTATCTTCTTCTCTTTTCTCCTTTTCTCTTCTTTTTTCCCACTTAATTTTCGACCACTTCTTCATTTTACGCTTCTTCTCTTTCGTTGATTTTTTTCATTTGCTTTCTTTTTCTTTTCTTTCATCCTATCCTTCTCTTCTCACTTTTTAAAAATTCCATTAAAGGACACTTCTTCGCTTGTACATTCTCTTCAAAGGCCCTTGTTTTAAAACATTTCACGTTTATACTCTCTTTTCTATTTTCTCTTCTACTTTCCCTTTCAATTTCCCGCCAATTCTCACTGGAAGATCACTACCCATTTCTTTCCCTTTTGGCGCCAATCCAGTTCACGGAATTAAATGGCCGAACGGGCTTCTTCCTGTCTTCATTTTCCGGTTTCCCAATCTTCCACTGCCCTTTCCCACAATGCCACATTTCCCATCATCCATTGCAGTCTCTTACTTTCCACAACCTAATTACCAAGGGAAGCGAATAAAAAGCAGGGAGAATTAATAGAAAATAAGTTTTTATTCTTTTTATTCTTAAAGGGCAAAATAAAAGGGGTAGGGTGTAAGGATAGGGAAAAGACAGAGGGATGTTATATGAATCTGGGAAGGCAGGGACTGGTGGTAAAAGAAGAGGGTTATTCGTCAAAATGTTGACGAATTGAAGTGTTTGTTATTGTCTAGGGCCGCTGGTATCATTGAGAAAAAATGTCCCAAACAAAGGTGATAAATCAGCATTATACAGAAGAAGAAAGAAGAGAAGAAAATGATGAAAAAGAGAAGTACGAAGAAGAAAAGGAAAAATATATAGAAGGAGGAAGAGGCACGAAGAAGAAAATAACGAAAGACGAAGAAGAAGAGGGATAAAAATGAAGAAACAAAAGAGAACGTAAAGAGGGGAATAAAGAGAAAGAATAAAATGAAGAAAAAAAGTAGAAGAAAAGAAAATTTAAAAGCCTTCAGAATAAAAGAAGAAAAAGAAAGACGAAGAAGCAAGAAGAAGAAGACGAAGAAGAAGTGGATTGTGCAAGAGAAGTACGTAAATGAAAAACAGGAAAAAGAATAAATCTAAATAATGAAGATGTTTTATCGGAAACTTGGGAAGACAATATAAAAAAGAAAAAAGTAATAGATACTGTAACAGAAACGAATGACTAAATAATAATAATAATAATAATAATAATAATAATAATAATAATAATAATAATAATGTGAAGTAGTAGTAGGAGGAGAAGAAAAACAGAGAAGAGGTTATAGAGGTATTGGAAAGTGAAAAATATGTCAATAGGGATAAAATGAAAAACAGACACAAAGAAGAAGAAGAAGAAGAAGAAGAAGAAGAAGAAGAAGAAGAAGAAGAAGAAGAATCAGGACTAAGAAGTAAAAAAGAAAAAATGTTTTGAAAAAGAAGGGAAATTATCGAGAGCAAAATTTGATTTTCATGAAGAAAAGGAATACATACTCAAAATGAGGAAAAAGAAGTTGAAGTGAAAAAACAGTCTGATCTATCGGAAAAGTAAAATAATAATAATAATAATAATAACAACAACAACAATAATAATAATAATGATGATAATAATATTATTAACAACAACAGAAACAATAATAATAATTATTAATAGGTGAAAACGAGAGTGAAGAAAGCGTTAAGGGGAAGCGAAATTAAAGATAAGTAATTTCAATAGAAAAAATATATATATAAAAAGAAAGACAAAGAAATAGAATTAAAAGATGGGGAAGAAACGTAAGATTTCGAAATAAAAAAAAAGGAAATGAATGAAGATGATTAAAAAGAGAGGAAAACGAAGAATTCAGTATACGAAAAGGGAAAGAAAAACGGTATAAACGGGGAACCCTACCTCCCCCCCCCCAAGGAAAATGCGGGGGGAAAATTGAAACCAGAAAAGGGGGAAATAAGATAGCCGCGAGTTTATCAGAGAGAGAGAGAGAGAGAGAGAGAGAGAGAGAGAGAGAGGGAGCAATGAAGAAAATGGAAGACGAGATTTAAAAAAGAGAAAGAGATATAGAGAAATATTCGAAGAAAAAGAAGAAATCCTCAAGCGAAAAAAGAGTGAGATAAAGAATACATGAAATAAAGTACTTGCAATGTAGAGAGAGGGAAAGAGGGAGAAAGAGAGAGAGAGAGAGAGAGAGAGAGAGAGAGAGAGAGAGAGAGAGAGAGACGGTGAGTGAATAAAGAAAGAAAATAGTTAAGATATCAGGAGGAAACTGGATAGAAAGAAAGATGATTGAGAAGAAGAAAGAGTGGATGGTGAGGAAACTGAAAAGAAAAAAGAGCACGAACGTGAGGGGGAAGTTGAGAGAAGTAGTTTATAAATTAGGATAAAGAGAGGAAAAAGAGCAAAAGGGGAGAGAGAGAGAGAGAGAGAGAGAGGTGGGGGAAAGAGCAGAAAATGATAAATGATATGAAGACAAACTCAAAATATGACAACAAAACCTAACCTTAAGGAATTACCTCCCCTTATATCGATCAGCTCTCCCCTGAAGAAAGTTAAAAAATAGAAAACGAGGAAAAAATGTATTATAACTCTAGACTTAAAGAAAGCGAAAACCAAATAAAAATAATACAAAAAGTAGAGGACATTTTTGAAAGGTTCGTAAAAATTCCATTGCATCTCATCATGCAATGGTTAGGAAGAAATATTGCTCGTTGTGTTGTCTGTCAAAATAGAGTCAGGTTTTGGTGGCGTTGACGGTGGGGGAACAATGGAGACGGGTTTGTACGTTGGCAGCGGCAAAGTGATGATGAGTCAATGATTAGGGTATGACTTCAGACCTAAAAGATTCCAATTCCCACTAACTGCCCCTCCCCACCAATATATAGTCAGTCCCTTCCCCACGTACGCGCATTTCGGTTCTGGAGGGTGGTGTTTTATGTGCCTTCTATAATTCACGAAAAAGAGGAAAATGAAGAAAAAAAAAGAAGTGAAGAACAAAAGAAGAACATTAACAGTAATGAAATAAATGCGAAGAAGACGTAAGATAAAGGGATACAAATTGGATTTCTGAAGAAGAAGAAGAAGAAGAAGAAGAAGAAGAAAGGAAAAATGAAAAGCAAAAAAGATTTAGAAGAAGAAGAAGGAAGAGAAAGGAAAGAAAAAGAACAAGGAAAATTAGGAGAAGAATACGAGGTAGAAGAAGGAGTAGAAGAATAAAGAAAAAGAAGAAAAAGAAGAAAGACGAAAGAAGAAAAAGATGTAGAAGATGATGAAGTAGAAGAAGAAAGAAGAAGAAATAGAAGAAAGAAGAAGAAGAAAAGGAGGAAGAGGAAGAAGAAGAATGAAGAGGAAGAAGTAAAAGAAGAGGAAAGAATAGAAGGAAGAAGAAAGAAGACGATGACAACGAAGCTAAAAGAACTACACAAAGAACAGGAAACAAGAAGGATGTAAGGAAGACAAAGAAGTGAAAGAGGAGGAGTAAGAAAAAGGAAAGAAAAAGTGAATCAAATGTCAACAGAAAGGGAAAGAGTAAAAGAACATAATGGAAATATTATTATTATTATTAAGAAGAAGAAGAAGAAGAAGAAGAAGAAGAAGAAGAAGAAGAAGAAGAAGAAGAAGAAGAAAACAAGAGCAGCAAATGAGGCTACAAAAGGAAAAAGGAGAAAAGAGAAAGTATAAGAGACGAGAATAGAGAAATGAAATGAATAAAACGCGAAGGTGACTACAGAAGAGGAAGGGAAGCCGATGGAAAGAACTAAGTAAAAAAGTAAAAATAGAAGAAAGAAAGAAAGAAAGAAAGAAAAGAAGAATCAGTCGAGATTGTAGAAGAAATGAGGAAAGAAATGAAAGGATAAAGAGAAAAAGAAGAAGATGAGAGCAATAAGAAGAGGAAGAGAAAGAGGTGAAAGAAGAGGAGGAGATTGAAGAAGAAAAAGACAAAAGCAATAAGAGTAGAAGTAGGAAAGAAAAGAAAGAAAAAAGAAAGTAAAAAGAAGGAAAAAAACAGAAACAAAGAAGACAAGAATAAAACGAAGATGTAACCGAGGAGTAAGAAGGAAAATAAAGACATAAATAAAGAAAGGAGCAAAAGACGACAGGGACAAAAAGAGAAGAGGAGAATGAGAAAAAACGAAAGAAGACCGGAAGAAAAAAAGAAAGAGAAACGCAGAAAAAGGAAAGGGACAATAATCATTAAACGAAAGAAGAGGATTAAAGAACAAGAGAGATTTTCAGAAAATGGAGAAAAGAAAAAAGAAAAAAAAATCTAAGCCCCATATCCTATCATGACACTGAGTATGATAAGGCTATAAGAGGCTGTGAAGCATGTGCTTGGTGTAATCTTATCAGACTGGATGCCGTGGTGGGAAGATTGGACTATGTAGATTTGTATCGCAACATTTATATACGGTTTGTTCCTGATCCGAATATTGACCACTTTTCTTCCATAGATATAGCATACTTTAAACTCTCTCTCTCTCTCTCTCTCTCTCTATATATATATATATATATATATATATATATATATATAATTATGTATTTGGGTAGAAATCCCTCTTTTATACAAGTTTCATTAAAAAAGACTGACAAGGCACTGCAGTTAAGCTTTTTATTTAAGTTTTTATTTAATTTTTCTTGTGTTCTTATGTAGTTTCCTAAAAGCATATGCCACAGAGCTGAAAGTATTGGAAAAACTAACCACTAAATAAGCCAAACCTGTTGGCTTGCAAAAAGTACCTTGTAACAAAGCCGGAAATGGCTCAACTACACAAAACTATCAAACAAATGAGTGACAATCAAAACAACAACAACAAAAAGAAAAAAAAAAAAAAAGAAGAAAACGACCCCGAATTCACCAAAGGTTTCATTCAAGGCATAATAATTGCCATTATAGAAATCGACAACGAATATACATTGCTACTGGGTCACCTAAAAGCACTAAAGAACCTAGCGAGAAAGGAAATCCACATCATATATATATATATATTTAATTATTTATTTTAGGATAATACACCGAAAACATGTAAAACTTTCTACTTGTTTTCGGTGTAATGCCATAAAATAAATAACATTGCTCTACTCTGTATTGATCCCTCTTTTAAATTAAATGTTACGAACGTTCTCATCGTATATATATATATATATATATATATATATATATATATATATATATATATATATATATATATATTAACCCCACCATACAGAGACCTTTTCTGCATGGCTGACGCTAGACTCCAGGAGAGTAACACACTGCGCCTTCTTGGCCTCACGTTTTCCACTAACTTGAAGTGCAGCGACTAAATTGAGCCAATAGCTGCATATCCTGCTAGGAAAGTTGGGTCACTGTGTCGTGCCAGATAAATTTTCTTTCCAGAATTTATCTTGCACATTAACAAATCTGTCATTCATTCGTGCATTGAATACTGTTGCCATACCTGGTCTGATGCTCCTGCTGTACATCTCGAGATTCTTGACAAAATCCAAAGAAAGATCTGTAATCGATCCTGACCATGCATCTCGACTTTTCATTTTCTCAACGACGTGACGTGGCTTCCCGCTATCTTTTCTACAAAAATTTTCATGGCAACTGCTTTGACGAACTTTTTTCCTTGGTGCTCCGATTATACGAATTTAAACGTGCTACTCGATTGGCATGTAGGTTCCACCTTTTTACTGAAATATCTAAATGCAACCGCCACTTCTACTCGAAGAGTTTCTTTTCTCGCATTTCTCACCTGTGGAATTCCTTTTCATTTACTTGCTCCCCTGATACCTACAATCTTCAAAAATTTAAATGCAGCGTCAATCACCATTTTCTGTCTTCTTGAATCCTGTTCCTCAATTGTCTCTACTCTCACTCTTCGCTTTCACGTTCACTCCACGTAAACCACTACGTACTAGTGTGATTCCTGTCTTGCTTGGGGTGAAATAATATATATATATATATATATATATATATATAGTTTTGATATATTTATGGGCTAAAGTGCTCAATATCAGGGATAGAGCGTATGTAAATACAAAAGTAACATTGATGCCAACGCCCAGAGGCGGCAATCTGTCTCATGCTAAACATTGGCCTAATGATTATGTTTTGTATGTTATTGTATTTGACGGGATATAAGGGGCAATTTTTTATTTTTATTTATTTATTTATTTTTTTGCTAAAAATATCTTTTAAAATTGCCCTGCGTCTTATATGCCATATGTAGGTTTGAAATTCGCGATAGTCGGCCGAAATTCGCTACCTTGCAACTCCTATTAGCTTAGAGTTAAACATGAAGGAGCAATGAAACACGTGGATGGCAATGCCTGATCACGACCTTAAAATTACAGGAAGAATAAAAAGACGCTGCATTGCACAAGTTTGCGAAAGGGTGAAGCAAGTTTGGGATGATATTAAAGCTGAAATTGTGAAATCTTTTAAAAAATGTGGCATTAGCAATGCTCTCAATGGAACGGAAGATGGCGCATTATTTAACGACGATGATAGTAGTATTTAAAATGAGTATCAGAGTTTTGATAACGAAGACGACGAATTTTATGAATTTGAAGATCAATAAAATTTTAATGCTAACTGTACTGTTTTGCTCAATTGTAATAATTGCTTGATTTTTTGTTTTCTTAACCTTTAGATATAATAGTTTTTATAGGCTCGTGTTCATTTTTTCCTATTATTTTTCGTTTAATTGTGGCTTAGTTAACCAAAATAATATCTCATAAATATAGCCTAGCCTATACCATTTACTAACAATTTTACTGATTTTACTAATTGTTAATTTTTCTTGATTTCCCCTGCTGAAATTGGGGTGCGTCTTATACACCCGTGCGTCTTATATGCCGTCAAATACAGTAATTTTAAATTGTTCGGTTTTATTTATTAGATATATGATTGTGCCACTCGTTGATGCTACAATATCTTCTTACTTTTTTGAGGTTATATCTTTCTTACGATCCATTGCAATTTTATACAAGGTTCTATAAGCTTGGTTGTGCGGGTGGTGTAATGGATAACAACTCGGGATTGTCGAAGAGCCGAGTTCAAATTCCACTCAAGGTTTGTTATATTCACTTACGCGCGAATACCGTTCGAAAACCTCTTCTCCCCCAGATATGAGTTAATTAATAAGACATTTATCACTAAGCAATTATAACCTAAAAAAAAAAAAAAAATCTAAATACACTTTCTGGCTTTAAATAACCTGCAAATAGTTTTATTCACCAGAAACGAAAGAAATCAGTAACTACACTATT